GCCAGACAGATAGCTCTAATTCGGAGGCTGTCTAGAAGCGAATTCTAATCGAATGCTCTGATCGGCAGTTTTTCGTGGTTTCTCCGATCATTACAAGGTGAATCCCGGAGCAGTAGTCACTGCAGTCCCTCTGATTGAGAGGTCCTATGTTCGAATCCCGACGATGGCAGGATTTTCGGCACAAGCTTCATAACTCGGTCGAATTCAGTTGCTGTGTGGAGAAGAATTCTATCGGTAGGCTGTTCTGATCGGTAGTTTTTAGGGGTTTCTCCGATCAACATCAGGCGAATACCGGAGTAGTACCCCAACAAATGGGCCACGGACCGCGCAATCTCACCTTCCTCTTCCTTCTCCTATCCTCACACCCCTTACACGCACACTTATAGTAACACGCACTACACTATCACACAGGCCGGGAGGCCCGTGAGGAGCTTAAGAGCTTGTCCCGGCTGAGGCGGTGCCCCGCTGGTAGGAGATATTAGGCGGAAGAAAATCCAACTACCCGAGATCTTGCCAAATAGTTGAGGAAAAATCACCGCCACCTCTCGAGCAAAAATCATGCATTACACTGACACAACTAATAACCATGGTAGTCTACGTGCCAGGAATCACTGAACAACCAATCTATGAATCAATCGATCAAACAATCTATCAAATAAACCGGAACAGTACGAACAAACGAGCCATGGACTGAGCTCTATCTTCCTTGACCTCTTCCTTGTCCCATCCTCAGCCCTTACTTACACACACTACACTATCACACATGTCCGGTAATATTTTGTGCTTATAGTGTTACATATTTTTACACGTTACTATTTATAACACGTCATATGTGCATGATATTTCGCACACGCCTCACAATGTTTCAATCACTAATACTTAATTAAAAGCACGAAAAACCGTGTTTCGCGCACGTCGTGCTAAAATTTAATTCTTTAATATAAGCAGAGTACAGCGCCAAGAAATGCGCAACAGTTTTGGAGTCTCTCTAAATTCATTGTGATTAAGGATGGGGAGGGTTCTGCTTTAATAAACGATGATTGGTTCGATGGGGTGAGATCAGTAGCTAAAAACATGTGTGGCTCTGCAAACGTCGTGACTAAGTCAACAGGAAACATGCTGATGGTATATGATTCACATTGAGAAATAGCATTTGCGCTTATGAAATACGTACTTCCTAGTGTCTGTTCTTGTTTCGGCTCTTTGGCGGTGAGGAAAGCCGCAGAAAACTATCTCAATACTTCGGAATTGGCAACTACGCCTCATTCAGACTAATCACTGATGTATACATTAAATTTTCGAATGGACCAAACAGCTATGAATAGACGACATCACCATAGCATTCTGGAACCAACGTTGTATAGGGGAGGCGCTTGGGGCAAAATGGCTAGTGCATCCGCCTTCTACCTCTGGGCCTAGATGCGATCCCAGGCCTGTTCATGTGGAATTCTTGTTAAACAAAGCGAGCGCCCGGATGGTTACTCATGGTTGTCCGATTTGCTTAGCCTCTCAGTCCACCATTGTTCCGAGATCGTTATCGCTATCATTTATTCATTAGATCATCGCTTAAGAGCCTCAATGTAGCAGAAAATTATCTACACCTCAATATAAAAATACATGGATAAATAAAACAAGGGCTTATAGACACCCGATACTGAGGTAGATTTTGGCATCAATTGATGTCACTGCAACGCCACTGACCGGGAACTCTTGGGTTCGAGATCTTAAGACGAGGTCTTTCGGCACTTGCTTGCCAGCCGCTGTCAAGAGAAGGATTTTACTGTCCGGTTGTTCTGATCGATAGTTTTCTCTATTTTCTCCGATCAACACTAGACGAATGTTGCATTAGTACGCTGACAAACTGTCGACGTAGCGCGCACGATCTTTCTTTTTTCATACCTTGTTCTATCATCACCCCTTACTTAAACCCACTTTGACTCACTTACACCACACTGCCACACTTCTAGGGATACCAGTCGGGAGCTAATATATCTTGTCCCGGCTGGATGTGTGGGAGATTCGTGGTAGGGAAAAACGCCGCAAGGAGACGTACGTCGGCGCCGAATCGCACCAGCCAGCGGGGGAAGATCACCTCTCGAACACTAGTATGCTTATGGGACTAATGACCTTAGCCGTTGCCGTGCCCGGCAACACTAATCACTCAATGAAACAGCCCGTCCATAAGCATTGGCAGGCGAGCGCAACGTACGCCTGCGGAAGGCGGGAGTCTTGGGCTTGCTGCGGCGCACGAGCGCGCGCACGTCGCCCAGCACGGAGGCGGTGGCGGTGGCCAGCAGGTTGCGCGGGTGGTGGTACAGCCGCACGAAGGGGCCCGCGGCCGCGGCGGCGGCGGCCGCCGCCTCGCCCGCGGCGTTCGCCGCCTGCGCGCACAAACCACACGTTTACACTTACCACACTTGCATACAAGACACGAATTGTTCATTCACAAGGATCAAAGTTTATTATGTATGCGGTACGAGCTAGCCAAGAAGAGAGAAGAGGCTGAACTTTAAGCCGTCTTTTCCTTTTCAGATGTCCTGTCAAATGAACTGAGACTCAAATAGCAGTGGGACAAATTTAAAACACGAGAAATCTTTCAAATGAAAACGAAGGACTGTGGTGAAGCTAATGTTATACAACGTGATAAGTAGGGCTAGGATTTTGATGACATAAGAACTACATAAAAATGCGCTAAAAGGGGTGTATTTGTGCCCACAAAATTCTTCAAAAATTTCCTAAAACATATCCACTTCGTGATTTTTACTCTCAAAAATGTTTAGCAAATAATTTACTATGATAAAATATTTGGAATAAATTGAATACTGCAACGCTTGACTTCCCCCACCTCGCGCGCTTCCACTTCCCCGTCGGACACCGCGCTGACTTTGCTTACGGAACATAATAGTTCACAGAACCCTCTATACCAAAGACATCCATTCCGAAGATTTGAGTTTAGGGACCTCTTTACTTTCTCTGCCTTCACATTTAGAGCTATTGGCGCCGCTTTGATCGCAGGATCTAGTTACTTTTAGGCGATAATGGTTAAGTCGTCGACAGCAGTTTTTTTCTAGTTAGAGTTGAGCACATAAGTGCTAAAAAATGAAAACCATTAAAGCAAAGTAGAAATGTCTAATGACCTCAAAACTAAACAATTAAAAAATACCTCTACAACCAAGAATGACAAAGAAATGCCCTAATAAATACATGTCACACGTCTCAAAACACAGTGAAAAATGTCACTACCCGTAAAGAAGTGTTTCTCAAGAACGATAAAAAAGACGTAAAATCATCATAATCCTAGCCCTAGTGTTGAGTACGATAAATGTTTTATGTTAGCAGATACCCATACAAGCGCAAGAAAAGAGATTCAAATTAGCAACCGAGATAGTCTCTGAAAGTTTTGATAAAATAGGACAGTAAAACCGTGTTTTCTGTGGCGTAGAGGAGCAGCTGGATGAGGACAAGAACAAATTGCTTCTTGTTTGCTAAAAATATAAAAAAATATATAAAAATTCGCTGTTTTTTAGCATTACAACTTTCTTTATACTGCATAAGCAGTACGCCAAAAAATGAAAATACCAATTTCAACAGAGTTTACAATCGCTACGACATACTGAAGTCAGTGAAGAGTTCAAAATGGCGCATACGTCCGGGAGACAGTGGCACAAAATTTGAAATGATCCACGGACGGCTAATTAGTTGTTTTCTGTTGGAGTTAATGCCAATTAAGGCCAAAACGATAGTAAGTTGAGCCGCGGGCGGTGAGCATACCGGTGATAACCCTTATCTAAAGGGAACTAACATTTGAAAAGAAAAGTATTACCATATATACCTACAATGCTCGTAACAATCACCTCTGCTACCAACGCCGTTGCTACGGACAGGTTAAACAAACGCATTGTTGCTTACTGTTGGCAATAAGGAACAATTCTGATCCGTAATAACTCAAAATACAATGACGCTATTACAATTAATTAAAAAGCATTGAGTAGGCTTTTTGTATTTTATAAGCTTTGAGAAAAGTATAATGCATTTAATGGGTTTCCTCACCCTTTCCAAAATACCCGCAAACATCTAAAAGAGTACCCTCTTAAATTTTGTTACACAAGGAGTGGTAAACGTCCTAGGTAATACTTTACTTTTCACATCTTCACCCCCTCCCCCATTTTAATAAGAGCGGTTGACTCGCATTTTGGTCTTCATAAGCATAAAAAAGCCAACAATAAATTAGCCGCCCGTACATCACTTCAAATTTTGTGATACTGTTTCCAAACTAATAGAAATACTAATACAAACAGTTAAACATATATGAATATTATGATTGTCAAATTATTAATACTAATTTAATACATGTACGAGTATCTTTTTTTTTCCTTTTTGACAATTAATAAACATATTTTACGTTAATCTGCTACGTTAATCTGGTTCATATTTGCCTGCTTTTATCCACAGCGAGGATGTATGGGAATTATTTGTGTCTTTTGTGTTTGGATTTATGTTTTTAAAAACTATAATGTTTTATTATTTATTTTTTTAAATACTTAAATCAACATTTTTTAGTACGTTCTCCTCCCTCTATATATTTTGTTCTTACTACATTTTTTTATCTTTTAAAATCTCATCTCTGATTTCTGTGTAATTTTATTTTTAATTAATTTATCTTAAGAGTAAAATATAAATTTGATGGTCATTTTTTTCATTTACAGGCCCTGATTGGAATCCCGACCTAGGTTGGAATTCTTTTTGGGTGATTTCCATTCAGGGTGGTTCTGAGATAAACTCAGTTCAAGTGAGTACGAGGATCTTTCCTGGGGATAAAGGCGGCCGGAGCGTTTCGCTCGCTTCACAACCTCCTCCTCGCGCCAACGGCGGCGAATAGATGCAGCCTATCTTCACCTCCCCCCGGGGCCATATCGGCCTGTGTGCCTTTACCCTTTTCCCCTTTTAGTCGCTAAACCCTTACCGCGCGAATCTGGGCGGCCTTCTGCTGCGCGCCGCGCATGCCGGGCCGCTGCGGCATCTGCACGCGCGGGCCCGACACGCCCCCGCCCCCGCCCGCGTCGCCCGTGGCGGCCAGCAGGCGGCGCAGCGGCGCGGGCCGCGAGAACGGGCTGACGGGCTGCGCGGGCGGGCCGGCGTCCATGAGGCCGGCCTCGCGGCTGGGCAAGCGCCGCGTCCAGCCGGTGTTGGGCTCGTCGGGGGCGATGCGCGGC